TCAGCTTTCAGCTAGTCGACCTGAACCGACCCGGTAGCCTCCTAGGAAAAGAAGTATAAGGGAGATTGCCGCCTTCGGGAGGTCATGAAGCATCGCGAAAAGGAGCTTCTTATTGTCAGCTTCAAAGCCTCAATGCTCGATTTGTGATCCCTTCCCCGGATCTTAGCATATCTGAAGAAAATGCACAATCTTCATAGAATTATTTTTCCCTGATTATACACTGTTGTTTGGGCTTTATTGCCGAAAAATGGCTCATATCGAATTCAGTCTGTTGGTTACAGGGCGCAGCAGTGGCAAGTCACCAAGATTTTTATTGTATTTAGTCAGTGTCACGCACGATTATACATGTGCGTCTATTATTTGATCGCTTGCATACATGAAAAGTAAATTGCGCCTTAACATATAAGAGCCAGAGTCCAAGTCACGGAGCATAGATGGCTTTTTCTTATGGCAGCGTGTAGTAGTAATTAACTGCGGTAGATGGACGCGTGTTGCAAAACCTCCATCTTTCGCCAGAGTGGCATTTCAAGGTAAGATTCCTGCCAGTTTTAGAGGAGGCAACTAGAAGAGATAACGATTGACTTCACTCCAGAACCTTCTGCAGTAACGAAAACGTTTTTTAAAATGAGAATTTTTTTCATCTACACGAGGATTGTGCTTCGCGCGTGAAAAATGCCCCGTATAATTAACATCCGCTATCGATTACAAGACAAATAACGATCTGTTTTTGATACGAGCTTCCGCTTGTGGCGTGACGCAGTCGGATCGCTGCGATACGTTATTCCAGGGTTGCCATAATTTTTCCAATCTGAGTTCCTTTTGGATTATTTCACGTTTGGTCGCTTGTCATTCCGTTGAATCGTAGCGCAGACGTGCTTGCAAAGCCTAGCTCTGTTTAACTTTAACATACCTACCCACATGACAAGTCACCGTCAGAACCGCTATTACCAGTGAACGACCACAATTCGGGCTTTTCTTTTTCTTAGGAGAAGTGTCACCGCGAAGAAGCTGATTTGTCTACCAGAAGAACAATCACAGGACAATCAGGTACCATGGCACATCGTTTTCACAGCTACAAACATCTGCTACACGACTGTCTCCCTATTGGAGAAGCGAAGAGTTCACAGAATGCTTCCCTGCCTTTCGTGTTCTTTGGCTGCGTTTTTTGAGCGTATTGCCTCTCTTGGGGGAAGTAGCAGATCCTCCTGGCCAGACCATACAAACAAAGTCAGCAGCGAACAACTCTGCTCAATGTAGTAGTCTGATCAGAGTTATACTGCATATCGAACCGCTTTAGCAAGCCAGCCAGTCCTGTGTGAATGGGACGTCTGACGGGTAGAGGTGCAGAGGGAAACGAAGTTGGCGCGAGGAATGGAGCGGGGTTCAACTATGAAGGGACATCAGCTCAATCAGAGCTTGACATTGCAGCCTAATAAATCCCTTAACTATACTCTGAACTGAGTGAGACGAGAATAATGAATATGCTATATATATATATATATATATATATAGTTGCAACTAGTAATGGACAGCTAAGCCGCAAAAAATCAAATATACATAACATAAATTACTATGTTAGGAAATAGAGACCAATTATATTCTACATATTTGAGAAGTAAGACAAGGTCAAATGTTAACGTCTGGCTGGCAAAGTACCTACGAGTCTTAGGTGCCCATCATGTTCAGCCAACCAAACATGTCCATGATCCTTTGAATTCAGACAGTTAGCCTTAGGACTATGCTGGACGACGCAAATAGCTGGTTGTACTTCAATGATCAATTATGTTTCAAGGTTTTTCTTTGTAAATTTTTCTACTCAAGATTTCGATAAAGCCATAGTCGTCTATTGGGTACTGACCGCAGCGTTGCTGCTCTTTCCTATAGATTGGTCCAGACTATCTCATCTATTCATTAAAGCCGATAATAAGGGTCAATGAGTACTTAAATTATAAACTCTTTGGAAATTATGCTTCTGCAAGTCTACGATTCAAGTATGATGATCTAATTTTATACCCAATCGCTTAGAACGCGTGTACGTGAAGACTAAGCGTCCGTCATTATTTCGTATAGTGCAGCACATATCCCTTATCAATGACTACAGTATTGCACCCTTGATACCTGTATGAAAGCCACGCCTTTCCTGGCGAGAAGTCGTTGCATTATTATGGAGAGGAAGGGAAAGCGCCGTACGAACATTCTCTTCGGTCAGATTTGTGGTGCCCCTGTGCATCTTTTTCTCCCCGGGGAGCTGTTTGTATCAAATATAATATGAAGATCGCTGATTTCCGAACGCAAAGACGTTAGCTCAAAAGTCGCTGAGTAAGCGATGTCTGCACAAAGGACATTAATGGCTTCACGACGGTCCTGAATCGGGAATCAGATGAGCCGTGTGTGCATCCTCAAGTACGTCGAAGTTGAAGATGCGCATTCAAATTGACCGCTTCAATATGTACCACTGGTTTTTTTTCTCTATACAATTCAACCGAGTGTTTTCAATACGAGCGATACGCCGAGTTGGTGTGACACTTCGTTTTACGATACCTCACAGTAAGCGTCTACCTGTGCCATGTGCTATACAACCTCGGAATCTTTGGCGCCTGGCTCTTAGCGCTCCGGTTATTCTTTGTTCAGTTTTGCTTTATTTTATTGATGAGAACTTATCAAGGAACCCCTGCGAGGTATTTATTCGAGCCCAATATTGGGCCCGCTGAGGCTCTAGAGACCAGAACAGCAGAAAACTTCAGTTGCATTTACTCGAGTTTGCCGTTTAAGTGTGATTTTCGTCGATAACTTACGATCAACTCTGGTTAGGCTATTGAAATAGCTGTAATAACCACTTAATAATAACCGCCTTCGTTATCAGCTGAGCGAGTTGGTAGTGAAAGCAGTTATTGTCCAGGATAAAAGTTTTAAAAATACGCCGTTCAAAATAAGCTTCGTGTCCATAAAGCAGAATGAGAAACTAGCTTTATAATATGGACTGTTTAAATGGTTAAGGTAAATGTAACTTTAAAGTTGTCTGGGTGGGTGAGGCACTCGTAAAGATCTCAAACAAATTGCCTCGTTTATGTGTTCTTATTCGACACGATCGTGAAGGCGTGACCAAGAAGCAAAATTCATACTTTTGTCCAATGGCCTCTTGGCAAATACAATGCAAAGATAACAACATACAATGACTTTCATGTCAACTATATTTTAGAATTTCGTTTAGAAAGAAAGATTTGTATAGAATTGTTAGAGCGTTTTCTCAGGCACGCAAAACGTGCCTATAACTTTTGACATGCAGCACCCCCAAAAAATTTAAATGGCTTCAAATGTGCATATAGGTATATCTGTTAGTACAGATTAATGTGTTTTTTTCTTGCTTTTATTATTATCTAGGATATATACCCACTGACTACCTTGCAACGAGACAACAATTTATATATATATATATATCCATGTAATATTGGAACAATGTCTACCCGCTGGAAACTGCGGTTTCATGCGCAGATTTACAATAATTCTGAGCATGTCTTATCGGAGGTTGGAGGAGACGCTTGTCACAAAAACGACCGGCAGCGGCCGTTTGAAAGCCTGGATGACGTTTCCCTAAAATAGCACCTGCCATTGAACAATCAATTAATTTTGAAATAAAACAACGTGGGTTATGTGTTCAAGGAGATAGTTAGGTTCAAAAAGATGGGGGGTATCTATAAAGTCGTTGTGCAATTTTTTCACAGAAAGAGCGATGGCGGATCCGAAACGACGGTAGCTGAACGGTGAAAGTAGTGGCACCTGAACACTCGACTCGGCAATGAGCTTTTAGCGAGAGCAACTGAAAGTGGTTGGGAGTGTGCCATTGCTTCTAGCGCGTCAAGTAGCTGGGTCGCTAGCCCCTGGCGGTCTTCGTCAGCCGCGCGCTCTCGGGTGACAGCGCGTCGTGGCAGCGGTCTCTAGCTGATGCCACCTTGTGACATCTGACAGCTGAGTTGAGCTGACTCAAGTTGAGCCGGGTAAGAGAGGAGCTAGCCCCCCCTTCCTCCGCCCCGTTTCCCCTTGCGGCACGAAGTGGTGCATTCCGTTGGGACTGGCCTGCGCCTTGTGGTTACTGACCTCAAATCAACCCACGCAATCGTCCAATTTGCACAGATTTGATTTGTGACAGACGCAGTGAGAAATCGCAGAACAGTTTAGTCCTTTCATCTATAAACGGAAAACTGTATGTTAAATAGACATGTTATGGCGCGGACATCAAACTTTCGTGTCATGTATCTACTGAATTCTCTTCGTCAAATCCCTAATACTATTTTAAGCTAATGTATCGCATGTATAGATGCTATAAAAATATGGGATAGTGTGTGACTGGTTACCAAATGACTGGTTGTGGTTGACCGAGTATTGATGTTCTAAGCGAAATCAAGACATTGTCACGTGGGAGTCGTACATCCAAATTACGTCTATGCATATCGCTAATCAATGCAACCTTGTCTTTAATTAGTAAAAAAAGGCAGTGACTCTTATGCGTCAAGGTAGCAAACTCGTCGCGAGTTCCATATTGTGGCCCATTAGAAGCTATTGACCTTGGGTCAGAAAAGCGTCGACAAAGAGGCTTCTTCCATCAACTTAGGACAAAAAAGGATTTGCAAATTCTTCGAAACGAATAGAAACAAGCCCAACTTTGAGTTCGTCTGAAATCTAGACATCTCGTTTATTTCACTAGAATCAAATCTACGGTATACTATAACAATAAATTATACAGTCTTTTTTTTTCCCAACTTGATAGTACAGACGGTCCATTACATAGTAAAAATCTTTTGCCTTCTCATCGGATATTTGCAATTTCCCTTACACTCAGATTTGGTTTAATTCATTTTTCGTCTTTTATTGTGTTGGAAAACCAAGTAAGAACTCAAAAATCCAGAGGTGAGCCAGTAAGAATTATAGAGTTTGTTGCTTGAAAATGCTTTAATAAAACAATGCAATAATAATGAAGTCTAGATAATTAGTTCACTCACCAAGATGCATTTTTACTCCATACTTTATTGAATTTCTGTGTTTTCTCTAGGTGGAACGCGCATCAAACTCCATTCTTTTGTAACTAATAGGAGGATATCCATTCCGCAAGGCGTCCACACGGAGTGCCTTCACTCACTGTTGCTTTTAACGAAATTCCGACTTCATCTAATTACTGTGATGGTTACAAACCCCGTGCAGCCCTGGATTTGATCTTGCCGGACGACAGGATGCGCACGCGAGTGCGACAGAGCACGCGTATTCCTGAAAGAAGAAAACTAACTGTATCCGACCTGAAGAACATTTTGTTTGCTTCCAACAAATCGTGTTACCTACGCTGCCTACCAGTTTACTCCCGCTGATAGCCAGAATCTCAACAATAACAACACCTTAAACACGCATTCGTATTTCCACTATTACCCATTCACACATTTTCCCACGTCACGCTCTACGGCCATCGCGGTTCTTGCCTCTCAATACAACCAGAGTGGGAAATATCAAAGAGATAGAGGAAGAGATGGAGGTATAACCTTGTATAAGTTCGTTCTGTATATCAAAGACATGTTACTAGACAATTCTGCTCAATATGGAGATCGAGTGTTAGGTCAATTAGTCAACAATGTACGTACCCTTCATCCTACACGATGATATCTGTGCACATAAATTATATGAAAATTAATTACGTATCGGGAACGGACACGTGAATATATATATATTATAATTCGCAGGTTTGGTCTATGGAAAACAGAGCGAGATAACGGGACGGCTTTCAGATGCCAATGACAGATGGCTGTGATACGTTTTTCTGTGTATGCTTTTCGCTTTTTATATCCGCGCTGCCTGACATCGATCTCTGCCAACGGCTAGTGCTATTATTAGCGCTTCTGTTATCTTGCAGGACCATGTGGGCAGCCTTCTCGCCTATCATAATAGATGGGGCATTGGTGTTTCCTGAAATCATACGAACGTCAATAGTGGTAATGATACGAAAAGTGCGACTTTTGAGACAAATGACATTTTGCATCTCGGCGCAGAAAGGGATTAGGGAAACCAGTCCAAGTTTTATTGAATTCACATATTATTAGCCCTGTTCAATTCAGCTGAAACAAAGTTCAAGTTCGAAGAGGTAACGGAATAGATCTGGAATTTTAGCGGACGTATTGCTAATGACGGCTTTTACTATGAACGTACCTGTTAAACTATCGCACGTTTGCTGAACAATAGTCCAATTATACAACACTAAAGTACGGCTAAGTACAACAATTGCAGCTAATCTATTTTCTTTTCTAGTTTTTGTTGAACTAGCTAAAGTTATAATAGCTTTTGGCCTCAGTCAATGCCATTTCGCCCTGCTCAAATATCGCACCGCAAGGTTGAGCGATGTGAGATACTCACTAAAAATAGCGTTTGATTATCGAGTACGTCGTGCTTTACAAACCTGAAACAATGGTGGGCATAATGGAGGCATCTGCGACGCGTAGATTCTTCAAACCTTGCACGCGGAGCCGCGGGTCGACCACGGCACGAGAATCGTTGGCCTTCCCCATTCGACAAGTGCCAACTGGGTGGTAAAGCGTACCTGTGTAGGTACGAGCAACACAGGCAAGGTATTTGTCTGAGTACAGAGCATAATCTTTGCATTCAGGAAAGGGCTTGTCCCATAGTTGAGCATTGTAGCGGCGGAAAGCAGGCGTATTCACAAGTTTTATGCAAATCTTCATTGCATCGACCATAGCTAACACGTCTTCCGGATGGTGAAGATATTTTGGATCGATGATGGGATAATCATATGGTGAAGATGAAGCCAACTTGAGCCATCCTATAAATTCAAGCAGCCTCGAAGTGTTAGAGTCGCAGATTATATTAGAATACATTGCAAGTATGAACTCGAAAGTCTCCTTGTCCTGTTAAGCTCAACTTGAACCCATGCTTTGCAGAATGGCTAGCGAATCGAGAATCGGCTAAATATGTGCAGAATTAGATCAGAGACATAATAGATAATACTGCCTGAATTCCTCCCATCCCCGAACCTTAACTGTGATAAACGGCCCGGCTCCATGGAATATCTGCAATACAAAATCGTATTACAGACACCAGTACTCGCTGTCTGTCTATAGTTTGGTATGCCGTTCAGACGACCGTTTCGGGATGTCTTTAGAAAGTCGAGATGCATCAGAAAATTATCAATTATTTTTCTATACAAGACTGGAGTAACTGTCAACGTTTCTTGTCGAATGTGCTCGTTTAGCTCCCGAGTGGAAAAAGGCCTAATTCTCTAAACTTTCTCTATCAAAAAACCTTACACGTGAAAATTTAACGTTATCGAGTCATATAAACGATACAGCCGCGATACGGATGATCCGTGCGAAATCGTTTATCGAACTTTTCCTTCGAGAACTTTAGCGTTTCCAGTGTGTAATTGCAGTTATCACCGTTCACATACCGGCTGCTCTTCAATATTAGAGCGAACACCTTACTTAAATAAATGCAGACGAAATGAATGATGCGTATACGCATGGATTTACTGTCTTATACGATCTGCATTCGCTGTTAGATTCCCCTATGCAGTGTTATATCTGACCGACGGATTTAGGCCGTAGCATCACGGGGTAGATTGAAATGCTGTCCTCGTAGCTATGTTCTGAATAGACGGCTTTCCAGACGTGTTCCTGAAGACCATGTGCAAATCGAAGAACTTGCCCTCCATCGGACACAGGTGAACCAGAGGCAAAATGAAACTCAAAATCGGGCCAGTCCTTCGACGGATCAGCATATTTCGTATTAATAAAGCCGAGTCCTTCGACGCCGCCCAAAAGCGCCAATGGTCCCGTGCCATTAGCTTGATACGCTTGTATAATGTCCATAGTAAACACGCGTGATTGCACAATCGAAACTGGGTCCTTCAGAATGAAATTTACTCCGCCAGCGAAAATGTGATCTTGAAGATTTTCACCTACGGGCAGGTTCACCTTGCACTCGATGCCCAGTGAAGTCAAATGATCACAAGGACCTATGAAAGGCAATAGCAGAAAATAGACGTCCCTTAATTAAAACAGTAAATAATTGTTAAGGGCGATGATTCGGCCTCACTGGTCTGAATTAGAGTGAAGACAAAACAGTTGACATTGATTTTTAAAGAGTCCGAATTAAAAATGTTGTCGTATTAGCTAGGACTCAAACGTTACCATTCCATGATGCGAAATATTTGGCTCGAAAACGTTACCAGCTACAACAGATCTAAGAGAACTTTCATTTAGAAAATGCATAATTGGATAATTAGATTTCTACTCACCGATGCCTGAGAGCATCAGGAGCTGAGGCGAATTGATTGAGCCAGCGGATACAATCACTTCCTTTTTAACATAGGCTAACGTTGGCACTTGGAAGCGATCAAAAAGGACAGATTCAACACGGCCTGTTTCTTTGTTGATATTTAGTTTGGTGGCCATAGAATAGAGCGATATGTGCAGGTTGGGACGATCCTTCACCGGCGCAAGGAAAGCTGTAGAAGTTGACATGCGTGCTCCACCTCGAATCGTACCTTGTGGGATCATAAAGCTAAGGAGAAACCAACCAAAAAGGTTTGAGTCGCTGTGTGCTCATTATGCATGTACAAATCGTTCACCCTTCCTAAACTTTGAAGTCATAAAATTGAACTTACCTTGAGGTCAAGTTCCAAAAACCTGTTGTTGTTGTTGTTGTTATTATAATGTACTCGTCTTATGCATCACGTGATTACCCATACGACGTTCAACAACGTTCATTGCCAGGCGTAAAACTCAATGCAGTTAGGCAATAACTTGTGATTATAATAACTGTAAACAGTAATTCTAGGTGAAAGACTTTACGTCTTGTGTTTACTATGTGCTAACATAATACATGCGGTCCCTTGTTTAGCCAGATTACCTCGTGTGCGCAAAAGTGTTGTGTTTGTCATTGTGACAAGCTGGTAATCCATTGGTGTGGGAAACTGATAATCTGGACAATACGGTGGATGCATAAGAACTTCCCATTCAGCTTCTTGCAGAATGACTTGATCACCCCCTGATCTGATTTCTCGTGTAGAAAGATGATTTAGCTTCGTCTAACTAGAATGTTTGGATAAATAGCTTGATGGTGTCGGGCATACGCAGGTCTTTGCCGACGGTCCCTTTTTAGCGTAGAAAAATATGACTTGAAAGAGAACTTCAGGTTCTGCTAATGACACACGGCAATGGACACCGGAAACACTCGACAGGTTAGTGGTAAGGGCTATAGCTGTTACTGCGCACCCACCAATAGCTTCTGCTAAAACATTCATCGCTATTGAACCCTTTGAAGAGGACGCTGTGCTCCGTCGTCATCTATTGTCTTAACTAAAACGTTTTTGCGTCTCCTTACTCCAGTTATTGAAATCTATCGTCAGCGCGTGCGTCATGCGTTCTGATATAATGTGCGTGTGCAATTTGCCCTATGAACTGCTCTTTCTTAATCCCCAAGATCACAGCCTGATTCTTTTCTGAGCCTGCGTTGCACACTGCTGAATCTTCTAACAGAACAGGGAAAATGTGTTCCTTGTAAAAGTCTATGCACAGTTTAGAATATGTAGGAACAAACATTCGTTTTATACATTCAGTTTTGTCTGTGGCAATGATCGTCATTTTTATTTACGCGGGTGCCGTGCATAGAAAAATGGCGCTAGGTGTATTTAGATTTTTCATAACAGACCTGATTTAAGTAAGTCTCCTACCGAGCGTTCTAATAATTTTTGGAAAAGATATGTTTGGATCTCGTCTTTAGCCCCTTGTACATCATCGGCATTGTCCTTACTGAAACTGATTACTTGAAGCATGTTATGCTTATATGCTTCAAGTAATCAGTATACACATGTACCTAAATGAACCAAAAACTGCCCTTTGTGGATAACCTGATGTGATACGAGAGTAACAAAAGAGACTATTGTTCAGTTGTATAATTTCGATAACATTCGAAAACTTAGTCTTGAGGAACTATGCCAATTAAAAATAAATGATATATAATGAGATAATTTTCCATCTTTTATCATGAGCGTCTAGTCATTTTGCGTCTTTAAGGTTGCGTCACTGCAAAATGTTTCGGCGGGTAGTTAAACTGCTATTCGCTCTCTCTCTCTCTCTCTCTCTCTCTATCTATATATAAATTTATATTAATATATATATGCACAGGAGATTATTGTTCTAGGGGATTTACATGCGACTGAAGCCAGAGAAACCAGACCTTCGCTGGACGGACGGATCGTGTTCGTCTCAGCGCTGGCGTGAACTGGGCTACCGATGCCCCTTCAATCAAGCTGAAACTGCGGCGTCCTCAAGCGAACGTTAAAGGCAGAAGTTTGCAGGTAGCAGTTTTACGTTTCCTAAGACCAAAGACAAAAATTCTTTTTGGCATTTTGCCAAATTTGTTTGCTAGCTTTAGTAAATAGCGCTCGACATTGACTGACGAGGTGGCAACATTGTTAACCATATGTAAACAATCTGAGATCTGTCACGAACAATGGAGAGCGAGCTGTACGTTGACCAGGTTCGTTAGGCTATGTACATGTATGGTAGCAAAAGCATGATGAAGACTATGCGTTTTTCAGCATTATCGATCCATCCAAAATGAAGACTATCCTTGAGGCGCTGTTGTAGTCTGCAGCTAAATTTCTGCTCTGAACGAAACGATAAAGGGTCCATTGTATTTCCCTCAGGGTTTTAGGGTGTCGTTCGAATGTAGACGTGTAGAAGAGTAGAAGCGCGACTTACTGAGCAAAGCGTTTGTACATTGTGTACATATTGCGATAAGCGAAGAAATAGTCATTCCAGTTAGTGTGTAGGAAATTGTGGATCATGCCATGACAACGACTTTTCTCCAAATCCAGGAACGGTAATGATGGATGGTGCGGCTCAAAGCAGAATGATACAGTGAACTTGGTCAATGGCGACCAGAGCTCGACGGACCGTCATATTGTCTGATTGATTATCGAGAAACTGGACAGTTTATGCAAATAAACACAGTAAGCTCGATCAGCCTTACCGAGCTCGAGCAGAGCCTTTTGTTTTTCGTAACGGACATGTAGTTCAACACGGGGCCTGGGCACATCTCCCAGAGCTACCCGTTCCGTTTTCTGCTTCACATTAATGTGGAGACACCACTTTTCACTAATCTGTATAGAAACCTGTCATTAAAACTGTGTTGCCAATGCCGGTGGACATGTTGAAGGATAATGAAGCGTCATGCTTTCTTTCTGTACTTTGCTTAGTCTACGAGGCATCCAGACCCTCAGCGTTTAAATAAATCCTATGAACTTTAGAATGTTTGATTGCAGTTTATCTTTTTAGTCGGCCGACGAGTTGGCCGTCTTTTTTGAGGTGCCTTCAGGCCCTCATAATCCTCACATGGCAGACCGGCTCGGGCTGCATCCCCGACCTCCAAATAACTATCGTTAAAATTACTGACGAGTAGTCCTTTCAGTTACGGAGTCCTTGGACTGCACGGCATTAATATCTCGGGCCGCTTTCGTAGGTTTACAAAAAGCAAAGTAGAGCATCGAACATTATGAGGAATATTTATATTTAAAACTTAAACTATGTTACTGCACAACGGAACTCTGATTAATTTATGTCGAATTGCATACGAAAGGAAGTTAACGGTCGAGAGGGATAATAACTTAACTTATTGTTAACGTTCAACGCCAATTTACCATTCCTGTTTCTTTCTGTAAACTGGGCCCAACGTCATCTGCAAGACAGCTTCATCAATTCTTTAAAACAGCTATACACAATCGGTGGCTCAATGAAAGATTACATTTTGGTGAACTGCATAAAGTTAACCTGAAGAAAGTCACATATTTAAACTAAACCGATACACTAGTTCAATTAGCAGATGAGCCACTAATCCCGTATGACAACGGAAGTAACTTGTAAGTTAAAAATGCCATTGCTGCTAGACGGATCATCGAAATGTTTGGGACAAAACTTACCCTGTACATCGCGCGCCATTGATGTCTGTCTCCTGATAACCTAAGTATTTTCCAGCTTCGATAAAAGCTTGCGCTAATTCAGTATTGAACTTTGGCCGTTCGACGTTCAAGTAGCCACCTAAGAGATCAACATGTCCTTTAATCGTTCTATTTCAGTTTGTATCAATTACGTTGCCGTGTTCATAATTATTTGAGATCACCTGAACAAGGTGTTTGTACTTAATTACAATAGCTCAATTATCTATTACTAAGATTTATCCATGGTATATTTTTGGATAAAATTGTGATGCATCGTCCGATCGCCGATACGTTTGCGTAGCGTGTCCGTCAGCACAGTCTCGCTTAGCTAATAATAATAACAATGATATGATGTTGTGGTGCGTCTATTTTTCGAGTCCACTTACCTTTTCCGTGCCAACCGTTATTTTGTATATCAGAATCTTGATTGTCCTCACTTTTTAGAAAGTATGGAAACACGCTTTTCCATGACCAACCTTCGCACCCCAACAATTCCCACTGGTCATAGTCTTCGTGGCACCCCCTCACGTAAAGCATATAATTGAGAACACTGCTTCCCCCGAGAACTTTTCCTCTCGGCCATTTACTGCGTCGATCGTTTAGACCAAAACATGACTTGGTCTGCGGTACCGTTTCGTACTGCCAATCGAGCACTGATCCCTGTATTAAAATATAGTAAAGGTAAGCGTTACATTTGCAAATGCTCTACATTCACCAACTTTCGAGGTCCTGCAGCGGGCTTCCTTTTTACGAAAGCATACATTTAAGAATGCGGGATCTTTTAAATCCTATGAAAACGCATAGTTCGCACGTGAAAATTCCGCTAGCGTCTTGGGTAAAAAAAAAAAGTAATTAAGAAAATATCGCGGTTGTTTTGCCATCTTACTCCTAGCGCATACCTGTAATGCAGCTGCCAATAGCGGCACATCCGAGAGTTGGTTTTCCGTGCCTCCCGCTTCAAGAAGGAGCACGGTATTGGAGTGATCCTCGCTCAATCGATTGGCGATGACCGCTCCAGCTGAACCACCGCCTATCATATTAGTAATCAACAAAATTCCTTGTTCCATAAACATTTTATACTTGGCAATGATTGGGCCTACAAAGTGTCATGGTAGAAGAGAACTAGCCACATGGTCAAATGATTCGAGGACTAACCCTTTTTTCGCAGCGGCTTTTTTTTTTTGACCAATCTCGTATAGCTACAGCTGATTTAGGCATTCTCTAAGAAAAGATCCTCCATAATATGCACGTACTTTAATCGGACCCCTTAAAAAGGCCATCGAAATAGTACGTATTGATTATAAGTGTCATATGTGTGTTAGTTGCGTAGGATATACGTTGTTACGTATATGTTATGCAAGGTGTACCGTTTGATGTAATCGTCAAAAAATTATTGGCACAGGAACCATGAGTTACGTGTTAGCTAGTTTTTTGCAAAATAATTTTCTTCTAGCCTCTCATAAATATATTTGTGCCATTTTACAGTGGGTTTATTATATGCTTTCGAGGCACCAAGCCATGTGTAAGTAAACGTACTGTTTTCGAAATACACTGATGTGTATTTTTTTAAAATTTTATTTTTGGTATTCTTCATTTTTGATATAACGTTTAATAGTGCAAGACCTAGACCCCAACCAAAACGTGGCACCTAAGCAAACATTTTCAAATACATCAACGTATTATCCATACTAAGAAAGGTGTTCTATTATTCATCCCAATTCGATTTCTTCGTTTTTGATTGTCTTTTCCCCTGTTCATACAAATTAGTATAGTTAATTATATTGTTTGTCTTTGTTTAGTTCGTCTCTGCCATGCTAGAACACGGTTGAATTATGCTAAACGCTCTCCGTCATAACGTCTTTCCCACTAACGATTCCCTATGTCAACACACATATGGCAGCTTACCCACCAACAACAATGTAGTCGTAGCTAAAATTGAGAACTTTCTTCTGGAACTCGACGTTCTCGTTGGCCAACCTGGAGAAAAAAGCGGCCATAATGGGTAAAAGTCCGGCGTATCGTGCTCGATTCATTTTTCCTTTTCAACGAACTCCTGCTAACGTTTCACTTAATCACGCACTTTGTTGGCTGCAAAATTGATTCTATCCCATTGTCAGGTATATAGCAATTCAGCTAGAAGCCGGAGAAAGCGCTGAACCTTAATTGGGATCTGCTTTTAGAACTACTTTAGAAATCATTAGTATATATCTTGCTGGCTGCTAATACTATAGAATAGTCACGGATTCATGCACAACGAGAGCTAATTTTTGCACAACGAGTTGTTGACAGTACACCATTAGATGATTATAGTATTAATTTGCACGTACATACGCATGCACGCACGCACGCACGCAAAGGGTATGTGACATTCGTTTGGTAGTGCATGCGTTGACTGGCACTTGGTCATAATGTGAGGGATCTTTAGATATGTTTATTAATTCGCTTATCGTATATATATATATATAAATTCAACAGCACTCAACAAAATACACAATATAGCAGTCATTCATTTTTAAGGTCGTTGAAATAACTCTTTTTAACTAAAAAATGGTTATTATCAAAGGAGATACTTTTTTTTTCATTTTTGTAAATATTTGCTAAAATTATATTTGAAATATAAAGATCCGGCTAAGATTGATCTATGATAAAAACCAGAAAGATTGAATTTTCTTCGATTTGATCATTTCTTTTGAACAAAGACCCTACATTTTTTTTAATGAAGGATAATGGTCAAATGAACGCGTACAATACAAAACTTCAATAATGGAAAAGCCGATTCGAGCCGTGATGAAGATTAACTCGTCTGTGATACGCTCGCGAGCCTTACAACGTTTAGGAGCCTATTTTTGCCTTAGGTTATTTGCTCAGGAAGTACAATACAAATCGTTCTAATTATTACAACCTTCTTAGAGATAGCACTTGTGACCTTCTTAAGGCCAAGCAGTGCCTACATTCAATTATTTATCGTAGAAATGCTTCTAAAACCTAAACGTGTACTACCCCTGTGCATATATCTAAACGCAGACATTTGTATCTTTTCTGCCGCGGTACGAACAAGTTACCATCGCTACGTCAAGGTTTTGCCTGTTAAGAAGACTCCAACAATTTATTCGTAGTATTTTTTTTTCCGTCTTTCATCTTGGCGAAGCGGCAAAGTAAGTGAACAAATGAATCCATTCTTGAGACAGCTCCGAAGGGTTCGTTTCGCTTTGTGAGAGCGTGAGCGATTTTTGAAGGCTCAGCCGCCGCAGTTACGTCTCTCGTTTCGGCATGATCCGATCCCCCACCCCAATGTTAGCATGGCGCACCGTAACTCGCCGTCAACCAGTAACCACAAGCAACGAGCAGAGAATTCTCGCTCGCTGTTCCAAACGTCTTCTTCAATTCGATGAGTCGGTATAATCGCCAGAACGACAGGAACATCCCGATGTAGTAGTGCTAAATTCTAAGTCATCAATTTTGTTCACGCGGTTCCGTTTGCGCTCCTACCTGCTTTTTTCTCAGTGTTCAATCTTTGATTTCTAATCTTTAGTTCACCCTCTGATGCCGATGGCGGCCGAGGCATCTTTCTACTTCCTCGTTTACCCCGCCTTGTCTCCTTAGGCTGTTTCTTTACCACGTCAGATCTCTTAGTTAGTTACTTCGATTTTCGTTTATTTTCTTTGTGTTTCCATTAAAATTTATGACTTGCTTTTGCGCTCTTGTTGATTCCCGCCGTGCCAGACACAGGGTCAGAAATGATAGGTACACTACACCCACCGAAAGTGACATTGACAGTTTGCCTAAGATGTCCATTTGGTCCTGGTATGGTGAGATATAATGTGAAACTGGAACAGGAACACGTTCTTAGAACGCCTGTAGGATTTCTCGTACCTTAAATGTGCCCGCCTCTAATGCACATAGACAAAAGCCTGGTACGAGGGTGGTAGTTGTAGCCTCGACGCATTGATCATATGAATATCGAGTCAAACTGAGGCTCTTAGAGAAACGCCAATAAAAGACTGTGCTCGTTACTATATTAGAAAACGAACGCTAGCTCGTGTTGTACGAAAATGAGCATCTTTGGATTTGGCACTGTTTATGCAGACTATTTTCTCTGTCATCTATAATCCATTTCTTCAAAGACTAGCTAGACCTTTCATCATCGTCAGCTATATCAGTGTGGACACGTATCTGATTTACGGTAAAAACTCGCTGTTAGGAATCGGAACCAGATCCTAGCAGGATCTGGTTCCGATTCCTGACGCCGTTCTTCCAGTTACCGCCTTCCGAACACCTTTGTGGGTCACGAAACCAACCGTGAAGAGCTTCATATAGATATATAAATCATAGATGCTTCGAATTCTACGTCCGCTACCCCCGATACGAACTATGATATTATTATACATGGTTGTAGGTGCGAATAATAATACGTACCGCTACGATCTTAAAGTAGTAGTCTTCTAAGACTGTGCGCCTTGAAGAATCACTAGCCAGCGGGGTCCTCGAAAAAGGTTCTTTGCTGTCACAAGGCCTTACGCGACGAAAAATACAATATATATATACAATCTACAATTCATACGCTTTGTTCACGATGCTTGGTTGCATTAAATGGCCGCAATAGTCTAATTGGCGTGGGCAGATTTGAAAATGGCCGAATACGACAGACGGTTCAGTGGCTGTTGTCCTGCGCTCGTCAAAAATATACTAGAAAATAAACGAACGTAACTAAGTTTCTAACTGCACTTAAATACCCTTTCGCTCCACTAGGCTCAGACAAGGCCGCTCGTGCTAGCAATATTATTAACAAGCCAATTAAAGACTGTCAGGGTAAATGAAGACATTAAGCGTCGTAATCTGCAACACCTATTTCGAGATCGTCTCGGCACCTCTTTTTGCATAACAGCGTTTAATGAGGGGTAATCCAATGGTCCAAATCTACGGCTGTTCATTTGAATCTGTTAAATCTGAAAATGAAAGGTCGATTCCCCACTTTACTGCACAGCGATATCACCTCCTGCGAGAATACTCAGTGCCGCAAATAAAAGGAACAGCTGTGTGTTAATGTATCTATAGCGTGTACGTAACAGAGTGGCGTCGCGTGTACCTACATACAACATGACAGTACAACTTCCACCGGAGCCGCCATCGTTGTTCAGATTAGAACACAGGGAGGGGGCAGGAGATGGGGACCAGCACCGATAAACTGGCCCATCGAAAGCATTTCAGAACTAAATCGAAACCATTGGCACCTCGGCGATCAAAAAGCTGCCACCGACCCGATTCTATCGAATCGACGGCGTTTGTAATAAATTGAGCAGAAAATTAAGACATCATCATACATCATCATCAACAGTATCACCATGGCCGTCGTCGTCATCATCATCAAAAGCACCAACAACGTATTGGTTGTTTCATTAGCACTATCGAGCCGCGTCGACGAATTGACCAAATGAAATTATTTTTTTCCCCTGCGCGAAAATTTCTTTTACTGCTTTTGCGGGGGGCTGTCCATGTTAGGCCTGCTGGGCGCCGTCGCGTTACTAACAACCACCGGCCAAGCGGACAGCCCAGATCTCCAGTCTTCTAGCTCTGCATAGCTGTTGTGTACCGGCAGCTCTTAGCGGTCGATTGGTCATACGGGGCCCTACTGTTGCTGGATTACGTTCGCCTATTGTGCACACACATATATAGATACATGCAGTAGGTTGCCTGTGGACGACGTACCAAGTTGAGTGTCAGCTTCAAACCTCTTCTAATTGACACGTATTTATTGCTAACATCGATCCATATCTTGCAAGAAAAACATAAATACTCGACCCTATAAGGCCAGAGCGGAGTTGACTAGACAATTGGGAAGATTACACTGTAGCACGATTGAGTGTCGAGCACGTGCACACTGTGAACGAAGCGGAAACCGAAGAAAGTTCATGTAGAAGTTAGTTGCGCTAACAAAAATTGATCGTTTAAGAGCGTTTAAAAGAGCCATAGCTATTAGTTGTTTTGCTACAGTCGAACTTATGCAATCAATATTTGTATACGTGTTATGGATAATTGGATCGTGCTTCGAAGCTCACGTGCACCTTCGGTATCAGAAACCAGTACTAATACATACAACAGATGGGAACATTGCTATTTAACACTGTCAAAGGCGAAGAAATCGTGTTGATTTGATTGAAAGCTGACCAGCCGTTTTGTTTTACGGAGCATCCCTGCCCATGGTTCTGCCCATCGGGTCTTTGGTCAAGTTCACGAAAAGCACATGCCTATTAAGTAAACGAGATATCTTCATTACATCATAAGAGTTAACAGAGACCCACGATCATCGGTGCGTTTCGCATGCACTGATATTATACGTTATGCAATATATTAAAACTTGAATTTTATTAACAGAGAAAAATAAGTAGGGAACTTAGCGACTTATTAATTACTATGCAGCCGACATTACATTTGAAACAATAAGACATCGCCAATCTTGAGACCAGTATATAAGCTGAAAAGATACATTATATATTCTATAATGATGAAGGATCTGTTGATCGCCTGTGAACAGTGACGAGAAAGGGGTGCGACTGTTTTTAGGTCTAGTATGGAGCCTACTCTTATCATAACCTGTTGTTAAGCGGCGATAACGAAAAGCTGTTAAAGCTCGACTGAATATAGTCTTCTAATGTTCACACGAACACCTTCATATTTTTTGAGCTCTACGTTTTTTCCTACTTCTAAGCACTGCTTCACAGCTAAGCCCCTAGGGACAAAGTGAAGTGTATTCACAACCGGTTTCGAACCGAAGCCCCAGCGCCTGCAGAATCGTAAGAAAGCTAAATTAAAGCACGCAGACGTTGGTATTATGCCCCGTTAGAGACAGTTGAACCTAGCTTATGAACCTACAAAAATCTATCAACATGTTAATAGCATCGATACGAATCGAGAATTACTTTATCGAAGAACCCTAAGATATCGCCCCATTAATTAGGACCAGCAAGTTCTGCTTTATCTCGCTTTCAGAAGTTCTGTAAGTTATAACGTGAATGTCTTAGCAGGTAAGTGTATTGATAGCTAATTATAATAAAGTTGATATTGTTGAATCGCAAATACACAAAAACAGCGCTTGTCTAACGGGTGTATTTTGCACGATGTAAAGTGGCGAAGACGCGAAACAAGACAGACGATACATCCAAGTAGCTCGGTCTCATAGGGACAAATTGTCTGTCCAACACTAGGCCGCTGAGAGGCTTAGGTTTTCAGTCG